AGTACTGAGCTACATGATCCTCATAACAATACTTTGCCTGGCAGTAAGAAGCATATGCTCTTTATAGACAACATACACTCCCCATCTGACCACATACCCTTCCACCAAACCCAACCTGTTTTATTTTATCTGCCAGGCTCCTACAGACATTTGAGAGTGATTTCTGAGATTATCTGAAAAAAAAAAATCAACAGGTCTCTGTGGTTAATAAGTACAGGAGAGTGAGAGAAGAGGTGCAGTTTCAACCCCAGAGGTTGATGGGTAGAAAGGAAGGAGTGAGTAGGGAGAGGCAGGTTCAGCTCCAGAAGTTGATGGGGTGATGAGTAGAAATGAAGGAGTGAGGGAGCAGATGCAGGTTCAGCACCAGAGGTTGATGGGCAGAAAGGAAGGAGTGATGGAGGAGAGGCAGGTTCAGCTCCAGAGGTTGATGGTTTAAAATGGAAGGAGTGAGGAAGCAGGGGCAGGTTCAGCCCCAGAGGTTGGCGGGTAGAAAGGAAAGAGTGAAGGAGCAGGAGTAGGTTCAGCCCCTGAGGTTGATGGGTAGAAAGGAAGACGTGAGGGAGGAGGGGTAGGTTCAACCCCAGAGGTTGATGGGTAGAAAGGAAGGAGCAAGGGAGCAAGGGCAGGTTCAGTTCCGGAAGTTGATAGGTAGAAAGGAAGAAGTGAGGGAGCAGGGGTAGGTTCAGTCCCAAAGGTTGATGGATAGAAAGGAAGGAGTAGGGGAGGAGGGGCAGGTTCAGCCCTACAAAGTTGATGGGTATAAAGAAAAGAGTGAGAGAACAGGGGCAGGTTCAGCCCCAGAGGTTGATGGGTAGAAAGGAAAGAGTGAGGGAGCAAAGGTAGGTTCAGCCCCTGAGGTTGATAGGCATAAGAGAATGAGGGAGCAGAGGCAGGTGAGTTGCAGAAGGTGACAATTTGAGATGTAACTACCTGAGATAAGGAGTATGGGAAAAGGAAAAACTTTGGTGAGTGGGATTATTAGTTCCATTTTGGACATACTGAGTTAGTCTATTTTAAATGAATCTATCTACTGGTGTGATTAAAGGAAAAATCCATCTTCTCATATAAGCCTTTATAAACAGACAGACTCTCCATTAAACCAATCTATTAATTCTCTTTTTTTTCTGCCAAAAATATCTTTGATCCAAAACATATAAATATTCTGTATGCATAAAGAGATGTCATTTTTATCAAATTTACATTTAAAGTGTCACAAGAAATTTTTATTCCTCCTATCATTATTTATATGAAGGAAAGTATTGCCAAAATTAAAGGCAAAGGAAATTAGCTTTTCTAGTTAATGTCATAAGACATTAAATATTTTTACTCTGATGGAGTAAAGAATTAGAAAACTTTCAAGAATCTTTACAGAGTTAATTTAATCTTACTAGAAAGGGGTATAAAAATACTAAGAAGGTGATTTTTCTCCTAATGAGGAAAAATAACAAGATAAATGAGTTTTAGCCCTGAAATTAATTAGAGACATGTTGTTTCTGGAGAATTAATAGGTTATTCCACATTACAAAGTATCCTTTCTCCACCTTCCTCCTATTCACTGAGAGTACTTAAAGGTCCACTCTGGAGTTCCAATACATACCCATCTCTCTCTTCTCCAAACCCTTTACTTTTAGGTTCTGTAATAAGAGTTCAGCACTCATACCTTCCTATAATGGTTTTATTTGTCTTCTTTTCACTTCTCTTACAACACAGTAAGTTCATGAATAAAGAAAACAAAGTTATGTTTCTTCTATGATCCCCAGAATACTGTGCACACATTAAGTACTTATAAATATTTTTGTCTGGTTGAGAGATAATACTAAGGGGTAATAAAGCACATGTTCTGGACCCAGCCTGATCCCAACTTCTTCACTTACGAGCTATGTAATATCATTAAGTTATATAACCCTTTTCTGCCTCAATCTCATCATTTGTAAAATGATAGTATCTGTGTCATAGGGTTGTTGAGATGATTTTTAAAAAGTTAACGAATGAAACACTTAGTGCATATAGTAAGTTCTCAACAAGTATTAGCTATTGTTATCATAAGTCTAGGCTCTGATACAAGTTGTCCAACCGTGGGTAAATTATTGCATCTCCTTATGCCTCAATTGTGTCTTCCAGAAAATAGAGATACTGTTAGTACCTGCTGCTTAGCATTTTTCAGTAATTGAGTGGAATACAGTATGTAAAATATTCTTTGAATAATGACTGGAACATAACAGGTGCTCAAAACTTATTAGCTATTATTATTATTGGTATTGTTATTTTATTAGTGCCAAAGTAACCAGTCAATTGGTTGGTTGAGGAAAGAGGAGTAAGTGTGTTGGGACAGAAAAAAAAAGATCTAGATTTATAACAGGTAGAAATCTACAATGTTCTCATATGTTTTAACACCTTTTTTGCCAAGGAAATACCATCGCTTTTTACAATATATGAACAACTAGTCCCACGTGGACACTTCAAGTTACCAAAGTGGTAAAAGCTCAATGATACACTCTCATCAGTATCATCTATACAAAGGCAAAGCTGAGAATTATCACTACAAATACATGGGGAAAGGTTTGCTAAGCAAATTAACAGTACAGACAATAGTTTTCAAATGTCTAATTACTTTTTAGAATAAATTGGTATTCAGTACTTTATAAAGGACCGTTTATACACAGGAAATTAATATGCTCCAATTTCAAACTATCAATCTCTCAAGGTCTACTATTTAGAAACATATTTACAACCTAGTTTTAGTGATCATGCATCTTTAGAGTAATAAAATGTAATTTCTTTTAACAAACACAAGTATTAGAGAAATTTTTAAGTATATTTTAATTCAACATAATGCTATTTTACACCAAATATGTGTCAAGTTATGTTCGAATATTATTTCATTTAACCTAACAATATACTTGCCAGTATGTATTATTATCCTATAGCTACTAGAGGTAAGCCACTAGCCTTGGTTACCCAGCTTATGCAGCTGAGCTGGGATCTTAACCCAGGCCTGTGTGTTCTAAAATCCATGTCTCTTTCTATATCATGCAGTATTTAGAAAACATTTATTTGAACAATGTGCAGACCTCCAAATATGTATGGGTTGAAAATACTAAATAAGCTGGTCACTCACATAATTTAGTATCAATCATGCATCGTTTCATGACAGGCATACATTTTGAGAAATGTGTCGTTAGGTGACTTCGTCATTGTGCTAACATCACAGAGTGTACTTCAACAAACCTAGTTGATAAATATACTTTTATTTATATTTTTTTATATGGAAAATCAAATGTCCCAGCACCATTACTAAATATTAACCATTTCCTCTACTCAATCTGCAATGCTAGCATCAAGTGTCATATATCAAATTTCTATATATGCTCCATCATAATCTTACAGGACCACCATCATATATGTGGTCCATCATGGACCAAAATGTTGTTATGTGGTGCATGACTGCATTTGACTTTTATTGATTTCTGGCTAAATACATTAAAAAATCAAATGTATTTTTAAAATTACATTTAATGTAATATAATAAAATGTAATGCAACAATTTTCCTCTATAGACTACATTCAAGGAATGTACTATACATGTTCATAGGATGTATAACAAAAATGTTATGTTGAGCAGATAGAAGCCAGGTGCAAGAGAATGGAATGGATTATCCCATTTATATGAAGTTCTAGAACAGGCTAATACAATCTTTAGTGATACAAATCAGATCAGTTTGGTAGAGTTAGGGTGGGGTAGGGTGAGAAATGGATTGATTACAGAGGGGTATGAGAGAACTTTAGGGGGGTGAAATAAAAGTTCTATATCTTAATTGGTATTGCAATTATACAGGTATATACATTTGTCAAAATTCATCAAATGGTACATTTGAATATAGAAAATTTTTAAAATGAAACAGAAAAGAGGGATTTATACACAAGATAACACAAATTTCTAATTTTCATTTATTAGACTACAGCAATCTAATAAATGTTAGTGGCCAATATTGGCCAGAAAAAAAATCGTAGTTAGTTATTTTAACATCAAAAGAGTAGAGTTAGCTGGGCACGGTGGGTGGTTCACACCTGTAATCCCAGCACTTTGGAAGGTTGAGGAGGGCAGATCAGCTGAGGTCAGGAGTTCAAGACCAGCCTGGCCAACATGGTGAAACCCCGTCTCTACTAAAAATACACACACACACACAAAAATAGCTGGACATGGTAGCATATGCCCAGCTACTCAGGAGGCTGAGGCAGGAGAATCATTTGAACCCGAAGGGGGCGGGGCGAGATTGCAGTGAGCTGAGATTGCTGCGCCACTGGACTCTAGCTTGCATGACAGACTGAGACTCCGTCTCAAAACAAAACAAAACAAACAAAAGAGTAGAGTTTAAGATAATATACACGTAAGGTATAAAGTGTTATGTACTCAGGAAAGAAAAATAAGTCAATAATACAAAAATATAAAAGATAGTATATCTATACATATGTGTATGTATGTGCTAGAGTTATGGAAAAGAATTAATTAATTAACCTAGAGATTAGGAAGTTCAACACATCCCTCTCAGAATCTGACAGATCAAGTAAATAAAGAAAATAAAAGATCTCAGTCGCATCATTACTAAGTTAAACAACTAATAAACAGAAAAACATATTCTTACTGAGAATAAAACATTCACAAAATTGTGCAGGAAAACATGTGAAGCCTAAATAAATTATGCAAGATTGAGGTCATAAAGTTCATACAGACTATATTCTTTGACACTAATGCAACGAAATTAAAAATCAATAGCAAAGTGAAACTATCCTTACAAGGTTAACAAGAATTACAGATTCTGGACAGACATATGATAAGTATTAAGCAGGTTGCACTTTCTCTCACTCCCTTACAGCTGTTGACTAACCAGAAGACACAGAGCACTACATACTGACCATGTGCATCTCCATTGTTCCTACATATAGATCTGACCTTAGAATCACAAAGCTTTTATTTAAGAATTGCTTATGATGCTTTTCAGATCCTGAATTCCAGCGGAATGGCTGACATCAACCAGTTTGAAGACCCTCACAGAAGAACCCAATCAGCATGAGAATGCAGTTCCTTCATCTTCCATCCCATAATTTCACTTTGCACTCTTCAACCAATCAACAGTCTCCATACCTTGGCCCACTACTCTTTCAGACCCTTTAAAATCCCTAGTCCCAGACTCCTCATAGTGGCACATTTGGGGTTTCCTCCCTTCTCCTCATACAGCTGTTTACCATTAAACCTCTTTCTGTGTGCTTGTGTCTTGGTGTATTTACTTGCTGTACATCAGGCAACAAACCTGTTATGATAACAAAAGAATAACTAAAATACCCCCATATGTCCAGAAACTTAGAAAAAAATACAATATAAATCTTAGGTTAAAAAGGACATCACAAGGAAAATATGAACTATGAAGAACTAAAAGACAAGAAATTACTACGTATCAAAACTTGTGGGAAACAAAAAAATTTAAACATTCAAGTGCTTTTATCATTGTTAGTAGCAGTGAATCATACAGGTCTGCAGCAATCTCAATTCTAGCCTCCTCAGAAGAAAGAACTTGATGAAGGGCATAAGGCAGAGGGAGGGACTGAGGCAAAATTTAGAGCGAGAGTGAAACTTTATTAAAAAGTTTTAGAGCAGGAACAAAAGTAAAGTATGCTTGGAAAAGGGCCAAGTGGGTGGCCTGAGAGATTCAAGTGTGTGGTTTGACGTTTGATACTTGACTTGGAGTTTTATACATTGGCATGCTTCCCGGGTTGCATTGCTACTCTCCTAATTCTTTCCTTGGGGTGGCCTGTCTGCATGCACAGCGGCCTGCCAGCACTTGGAAGGGGCCCATGTGCAGTGTGTTTACTGAAGTTGTGCATATGCTCACTTGAGGCATTTTTCCCTCACCAGTCCAGCATTCCTAGAGAAGGTCAGATACCAGTTAAACTCTGACATTTGGCCTCTTAATGCACATGCTTGAGCCCACTTGCCCAACTCCTGAGATCTTATTGGGAAGCTGCTGATCACCAGTTTCAGGTGTTTCTTTCTTTTGGGAGACTGCCTTTCCCTGTTGCTGGCTGAGAGCAAGTAATATTTTAGAGAGACAGTTTAACAACAGCCTGACCATCACCTGATGGTCACCTGACATCCCTGGTGGGTGGGAGGCTTCTCCTGCCCTCCTCGTGTCTGAACTACCTACTGTGACATCATCAATAAGCTCAAACTACAACATGGAAGCCACGAAAAGAGCAGTAAGATAAACCATCCCCACAAAAGCCATCCCACAAAAAAATAAAAAATAAAAAATAAAAATAAAGAAGGAAGAATACAAAAAGAAAATAATAATTAATGAAATAAGCAACAACGATAAACTAAATCTGGTTCCTAAATAGGATATAGGGTAAACTTCGGATAAGACTGACTAATACCTCAAAGAGACCAAAAGGTGTGAATAAACAAATGTATAATAAAATAGGGAAGTAAACTATAGGGACTTTAAAATCATAAAAGAATGTTGTGAACAACTGCATGGCAATAAATAGGAAAGTCCAGGGAAAATGTGATACATTTCTGAAAAAACCATACCACAACTGGCACAAGAAGAAATTTTAAACTTGAATAGACCAATAATGTCTATGAAAGTTAAAATAATAATAAAATTTTGTCTCCCCACCACTAATAGAGGTCCATTTAATTTAAAAGATGAGTTCTACCACACTTTTAAGAAATACAAAATCCTTATTTTATAGAAATTATTGTAAAATGTAAGGGAAAACAAGGAACTCTGCCTGATTTAGTTTGTGAAAGTACTACGAAATTTATTTTAAGATGAAATTTTTATTCCAAAACAAAATAAAGGCGAATTCAGAGACCAAAATATAGGTTAATTTAACTTGTGAATTTAGGTATAAGAATTCTCTGATGTTTAATATTGCCAAATTGATTGGATTGAAGGAAGCAAACTATTGTTCCTGGGTGTGTCTGTGAGGGTGTTCCCAAAGGAGATTAACATCTGAATCAATGGACTAGGAGAAACAGACCCACTCTCAACCTGTGTGGGCACCACTTAATCAGTTGCCTGCGTGGTTAGGATAAAAGCAGGCAGAAGAATGTGGAAGGACTAGACTGGCTAAGCCTTCCGAACTCCATCTTTCTCCCATGCTGGATGCTTCCTGCTCTTGAACACTAGACTCCAAGTTCTTAAACTTTTAGACTCTTGGACCTATACCAGTGGTTTCCCAGGGGCTCAGGGGCCCTTGGCCACAGACTGATGGCTGCACTGCCAGATTTCCTACTTTGAAGTTTTGAGACTAAGACTGGCTTCCTTCTCAGCTTGCAGATGGCCTATTGTGGGACTTCACCTTGTGATCATGTGAGTTAACATTCCTTAATAAACTCCTCTTAGTATTTTCTTCGATCCAATTAGTCCTGTCCCTCTAGAGAACTCTAACACAAATTCTAAAAAAAAATTTATGTAACTAACCCACCAGGATATTAGAAAGAATTCCAATAACTCAAAGTTTAACATGAGAAAATCAATCACGATATTTGGTACATTATTGGAATAAAAGAGAAAATCATAAATTATTTTAATTTAATAGATAAAATATTCAATAAGTTTCACCATATATTTATAGTTTAAAAAAACTTTTAAAAATAGGAATAAATGGGCTAGGCGCAGTGGCTCACGCCGGTAATCCTAGCACTTTGGGAGGCCGAGACAGGGGGATCACGAGGGCAGGAGATTGAGACCATCCTGGCTAACGCGGTGAAACTCTGTCTCTACTAAAAATCCCAAAATTTAGCCGGGCGTCGGGGCGGGCACCTGTAGTCCTAGCTACTCAGGAGGCTGAGGCAGGAGAATGGCATGAACCCGGGAGGTGGAGCTTGCAGTGAGCCGAGATTGCACCACTGCACTCCTGCCTGGGCGACAGAGCAAGACTCCGTCTCAAAAAAAAAAGGAAAAAAATAAATAGGAATAAATGGGAATGTCCTTAACATGACAAAGACAATCTATCCAAAGCAGTATATCAAACAACATGGGTAATAGGAATATTTTAGAAATATTGTCATTAAAGTCAAGAAGAATATAAGGATATCTGTTATTTATTGTAAAACACAGAAACAAAAGAAGTCCTAGTAAATACAATAAGAAAAGAAAACAATATATTTGTTTTGTAACCCCCCCCACCAAAATCACCTAACCCAGAGTTTTGTATACAGTAGGCACTCCAACTATTCTCTGAGTATTTTGAAACATAGAGAACAGCAATTGATTTTTACTACATGAACCCAATGTGGACTATAAATCTATCATATCCACTTGACAAATTATAAAACAAAGAGCCCATGAGCATGGACAGTACCCAGTCTGCTTCTAGAAGATGCAGCCTCTGGAAGTAGACTGCTTTGCCAAAACAACAAAGTATGTGCAGCACATGTACATAAGTAAGAATGAAATGTATGCATGTTTACTTAACCAGTAAAGATTGATAGAATAGGTTACAGAGTCCTAAATGTTCAGAGAATGTGAGAAAGCCTGAATGCAGGTGTTGAAGAACCTAGGCTCAAACCCAGTGGTACCACTTCAAGTAGTGTAGCCTGCGGCAGATCATAACACCTCTCTAAAGATCAGTTTCATCTTTTAAATAAGTATATAACACATATACTCACATTTCTTTTCACCATTAGATTCTTCTAAAAGTCATGCATGTTAATATAATATCTAATATTTAATGTTACAGAGCTTGCAAAGCAATTTCATATAAGTTATCTCACTTTAATCCTTAAAACTTAACTGTGAGGTTGGTATTATTCCCATTTTTCTGTTACTTAATTTCCACTAGATTCAAGTTCCGTGGGAGTCAGAACTTTGTCTTCCTGTTTATCACTGTATTCCCAGACTTTAATGTTAATGTAGCACCTGAGACATTGTAGGCACTTTAAACAAAAATTTTAAACTAAGGTTCAGTGATATTGTGACTAACTGAAGCTGGGACCCATGGGAAAAGCTTTTTATACTTGGCTTATTATAGAACAAAATAATATTATGACTAACGCCTGATATAGAACTAGAAAGTAAAACCATCTTATTTATTCAGTCCAAAACTGATTTGGATAATCTACAACAAAACAGCAAGTAGATAGTGCTAGAGGATCTATTAAAGCTCTTTCATTATATCACTTTGGGAATTATGCATTGAAAAAATAATGTTTAGTCAGAGATTTTTTCCCTTTAAATTATATTAAGAAGACATAGTTCCCAAGCTTAACAAAGGCTATCACTTTTAATATTATCTTGAAAGTCTAGAACATTATTAAAAACAAACACATTATACTTCCTTTTGGAGGGAATGAATAGAGATGAGTAGAAAGTCTGAAAGCAGAGGCTGAGTGGGGAAATCAGCATCCATAGGAAACATCCTTAAATAAGTAATTGGGAAGCAACAGATCTTGTAACGCAACAGGGGAAAATTGCTGGAGGGGTTTTAATTTTAAAGCTAAAAGCGACCTGTGAATAATCTAAGAATAATCTGTTTGTAGATAAATTAGAGCTAGGGCTTGTTTTGTTAAGTATCTTGAGAGGAAAATGAAGAAAGCAGAATAAAAGTTAGTGGTTATTGTACTACTTGAGTAAGAGTTAACATATTATGTTCAAACATTTTTTAAAATCTTAATACAGATCTTTTTGTGTTTATTTCACCCCTTACCTACCAACATATCTAATTTGTAGGAATATATTAATGAGTAGCTAGATTCTTTCAAAAAATAATAATGTGTTACCATTACTTCCCTTCTTAGTTATGCTCCTCCAGGGTTAGCCAAACTACAGCAGCTCTTTTGTTCCCCTGGTGGAAATGCCTGGAATTGCAGGAATAGTTTTAAGAGGAGCAAATCTCCAATACATAGCTAAAGAAAACACAGATCTCCATTCATATATTCAACAAACACTTATTAGGCACTAAAAAACAAGAGATGATGGAACATAAAGATGAATTTCAGTGACAGCAAAGTTTTAAAATACTTAGGAGTATACTGTACACTGATGTGACAAAGGGCTCAGATGAAACTGAAATATCTAGCACATAACATTTAATTATTGAATTTAAAGTATTACAATCTAATTAATGTTTGTTCTGGTTGTACATTTATTAGCACCTTGATGATTATCAGCACCATATATACTAATACATGTCGGCACCATATGTATTTATAACAGGATTCCAGCTCTTGAGAGAATAATTTACCCTAATATATATCTC